AAACAGATCGAAAGTAAGAAGACCCTGTGGCCATCTTAACCTGGAAGACAACAAGGATTTTTTTTCTTCTCCACGTCAGGCATGTTGCTGGGAGGGGCTATTCCCTGGAGAGGGACATGATGCTGGGAAGGGTGAAGGGTCAGTCAAGGAGAGGAAGACCCTCAACCAGGTGGACTGACATGGTGACAGCTGCAGCGGGCTCCAAGGAAGTGTGAGGATGAAGCAGGACAGGACAGGGCTCAGATCTGTTGTTCACAGGGTTGCTGTAACTAGTAATCGACTCGACGGCACCTAACCACCACCACCACCTTCAAACTGTCTTTCTAGAAAGCAGGCAGCTGTGCTATTTAGAGGGGAGGTGCCGGCACTCCTCCGCTGGGGACAGGGCAGGGACGTGATTCTCTGAACTCTTAAAGCTCCTCTGTCAATCTCTTATGCTGAAGAAATGTTTAATGAGTCATCTCTGTTTAAACGCATTTAGTCAAAGAACTTACCTCTCTGATTCTTTTGATTTGAATGTGATTTAACCGTCCCCAGTCAAGTTCATCCTTTAAATACAGAAAAGCCAAATAATCAATATAACTTAACTAATTCTAATTCAGTCTAGCTACTCAAACACATGCAAGGCTACCATTGAAGAATCTGATGAAGACCATAAATCGGGTCTCCCACTGACTCGACTCAGACTGGTCCAGTGTTACTCCCCGGAGGCTGCTGCTGACCACCATCCCGGCAGAGCAGGCCTCGGCTGGGCCTCCCGGAGGCTGCTGACCACCATCCCGGCAGAGCAGGCCTCGGCTGGGCCTCCCGGAGGTTCAGCCGAGGCTGTGGAGCACACAGGAGGAGATTGTCTGTTTGTCTTCAGTGCAACAGCATGTGGTTCAAACCACTCGTCTTTGAGTTAGCAGTAATTCTGTAATAATTTCCAGAAAACTGCCAACATTAAGGAAAATTCTACCAGAAAAAAATGAAAAAGCCAACGGGGTAAATGTACTTGATGTTTACAACCTACAATGTGGCTGAAAAATATCAGAGAAGCTGCTTCTGGGTCTTAAGTCTGAACCAACACCCACAGATGCCCACGACATTGTGCACTTAGAGGCCATGACCCCAGATGGAGCTGGAAAGGGAGAGAAGCTTGCCCGACTGTGGCCAGGAGCTGCCTTTGAGAGGGCACGGAGCCAAACTACAGTGCAAGGTGTCCTATCCAAGGACCAGCCGTGCCCGGACAGTAACCAGGGCCCCACCTTGGTCCTTGCCAGCCTGCCTTCCAGCCAAAGGTGGACACAAGCCCAGAGTCCTGGCGAGGTTGGTCACTCCCAGGAGAGAGGCAGCAGGGCCTACCTTGGGGTGTCGGAGCTCTCCACTCTGCCTGCAAGCCTGCCAAGTCTGAGCAGAAACAAGGCAGGGTCAGAGAACCGCACTGACAACAGGGTCATTCACAAATACGCCAACACACAGAGCACGATACGTTCACAAGCTTAATGTCTCCACCGACTTCGTGAAATCAGCCTTCCGGCTGCCGCTGCCGCCCTCTCCCCACCCATTCCAGCAGCTGCTCTGATGCTGGACACCCGGTGAGTCGCTGGTTGGCAGCAGGAACGCGGCCGTCACTGGCACAATGGCAAACTCACCCGGAATGCCTCAACAAGGGCAATGCAGTCACTCTTACTGTCACCAGAGAAGAGCACTTTATTCCTAAAAAGAGAGAACTGTCACCTGACGCCGTGAAAAGAAAAGGGAATTTGAAAGCACGGACGTGACATACCTGTATCCATCAAGATGCTGTCGATAAGGCATGGTGAAAAAATTCTTGAGAGAAAGGGCAGCAGCTGACAAGAGAAAGAAGGGGGTCAGCGCAGGGCAGCCAGGGTCAGTGCGGGCATCTCCTGGCAGCTCTGCGGTCTGACACTTACCTATGATGAGGCATTCTTCCAGGCAGCCAAACACGTGTCCCAGGACGATGAGTTTCCCCAGCTGCTGGCACACGGGGAGCTGGGCTAAGACCCTGCCCAGGAAGGTCAGCTCACCGTCATGTGGGTTCTCGTCCTCCCGCTGGCCACTGACCGCAAGAGCTCCAACCTGTGAGGACGAGGAGTGCTGCCGGGTACGGCTCGCTTGTGCATTCTCGCTCACTTTGTACAAGTCACAGGTGGGGGCAGAAGAAAGCCCCCAACAGGAAGTAAGAGCCATCTTTAACGAATGACATTTCAGAAAGCACCCAAGTCCACTTACAAAGGCCAGATGCTACCAACAGTATGTTCACGGGCAGCCTGGAAGCTTGGGCACTTGTACATTTTTTACGTATAGTAATTGAAGATAACACTCAAGGATACTTTTGTTCAAGAGTCCACGTAACTCACAATTTAACAAACATAACTTGACAGTAAATTAATTGAGCTACCACATGAGGCTGCTAATTTCCAACAAAAGTGCATCCAACTATGCAAGTAAAACAACGTCCTCAACTTGACAAAGAATATTTCACAGACGCCTGAGCACGCACATTTCAAAGTCTCTAGAGGTCCCGTGATTTGCCCCCCTCATCTTCATCACTCTGCTCTCACCCCTTCCCCTCTTGGACCCCCATACAAGTCTTACTAACCATCCTTCTCTTTTTTACAGTAATAGTCTTGTACAGTATTTGTCCTTACGAGACTGAGTTACTTCACCCAGCACAATGCTCTCCTGTCTCTCCCAAGTTCTGCTGTATTTTTTTAAATCATTGCCCCTGTATGCTGCACAGTATTCCATCATATGACTGTACCACAATTTCTCAGTCCACATGACTGTGGTTGGACATTTGGGCTGTTTCCATGTCCTTGTGAGTGTGAATAATGCTTTCAGGGGACAGGGTAAAAGAAATGGGAAAGATCCAGTGGGGACCTGAAAAGATGGGGTAATGGTGGGCACAGTGCTAAGGCGATTGATTTTATAAAACACAATGTGTGAGAATGAATGTATGAAACACAATATGAATGAAGTGTTAACACAAGGTATATGAACTGTGTATGCAAACCAAGATAAAATGTTACTGCACTTCACCAAGGAGGCCATTCCAAATAGCAAGAAAAGGCCAGCCATCAAAGGCAAGAAAAGACCAGCCATCAAAGGGACACAGACCAAACCACAACGACATGCCCGAGATGAGAACACTAACAGGGAGCCGGCGAACAACAGACCGCATCCGTGCCCCGCCTGCGCCACCCTCGCCACGCCCACACGCTCCAGGCCATCCAAACAGCCGCTGCATTCAGGCCTCGCGGTGGTGGCGCTCTACTTTTCCAAGTACTGTGTCTTTTTTCCAAGGACTGGTGCTTCTTGACATCACCCCAAAGTCTGTGAAATGAAGCATCTCCATCCTTGTCTGCAAGGGCACTGGCTGCACTCCCTCAGACAGACTTGCTGGCTGGTCTGTGGGAGGATATTCTTTGGCCATGCCACAATTTAAAAGCATTGATTCTTCTGCTGTTCCTTACTCACTGTCCAACTTTCAGATGCACAGGAAGCAAATGAAAAGACCATGACTTGGGCTGTCAAGTCACCTGCAACTCATAGCAACTCTACAAGAGCTCCGAGCCCTGCTCTATGGCTGAGGCAACATCATTGGCTCTGACACACCCATTACCCTATCATCTCATCCAAGGTCTCTCTCCTGCACTGTCCCTCCACCCTGCCAAGCACAATGCTCCTCTCCAAAGATTGGTCCCTCTTAGCAACATTCCCAAAATATGTGAGACAGAGTTTAAAAATCCTTGCCTGCAAGGAGCAGCTTGATTTACCCTCTCCACAGCAGACCTGTTTGTTCGCTGAGCAGTCCATGGCTATTTCAATACTCTTCTTTCTTTTTTTTAAATTTAAATTATTAATTTCAGTAAAAATTTACAGAGACTTTGGATTTCCATTCATTCATTGTTGCACTTTTCTCCCCTCCCAACCCTCC